CTGCTATAGTTTCCATGGATCGGACTTCAACTTTATCCTCAGGGACACCTCTCGCATCTGGGTTGAATCTACCCCAACCGAAGCCCCTTGGTAATGGTACTGACCGCACTCTCGAGAGTGTGTTGCATGCAAGCAAACTGAAAGTCAATGCCATTGAAAGTATGCTTAGAGGTCTAGACATATCTGAAAAACAGAGGTCAACAAGTTTGGATCTAGGTATTGAATGAGTTTTCTATGTTTTACTTAATTTAAACTTGAAAGTTCCGTATGTCATCATTAAATGATGCAGCGATAATTGTCTGAAATGATTAGAAAATCAATTCAGTTGTGAGCGGCTAAATTTGTCTTTTATTGCTCACTAGTGCAGGAGTGGACCCTCTATCATCTCGTGTTCCGCCATTCCCTGCTGTTGTTCCAGCTTCTAACAGTCTCACAAGTGCTTTAGGACTAGAGTCCACTACCTCTAGGTCCTCTACTGCCAGTAAAGCTAGTAACTGCAATGGTAGTCTGGTTATGTCTGATATAATTACTCAAATTCAAGCTTCCAAAGATTTAAACAAGTTATCATATAGTACTAGTGTGACAACCGAGTCTTTTCCAGCTTTCACATCATACTCTGCCAAGAGGGCATCTGGAAGACAAGAACGTGGTTCCTTTGAAGATAACAATGACATTAGGGAGGTCAGGCGGTTTATAAATCCACATATTGACAGGCAATATTTTGACACACCTTATACAGATGTAAACTCTCGAGATTTACAGAACAATTACATTCCTAACTTCCAGAGGCCACTATCGAGAAAACATATAGCTGGACGTGTGTCTGCTGGAAGGAGAAAGAGTTTTGATGATAGTCAGCTGTCACTTCGAGAGATGTCAAATCATGTTGAAGGTCCAGTTTCTCTCAGCGGTGCCCTCAGCGAGGGACTCAGTCCTAGTTCTGATTGGTCTGCTAGGGTTGCTGCTTTTACTTATCTCCGGTCATTGTTGCAGCAGGGCCCAAAAAGTATTCAGGAAGTGGTTCAAAACTTTGAGAAGGTAATGAAACTGTTTTTCCGGCACTTGGATGATCCCCACCATAAAGTTGCGCAGGCTGCCCTTTCAACACTTGCTGATATTATTCCATCATGCCGAAAGCCCTTTGAGAGTTACATGGAAAGGATCTTACCCCATGTTTTTTCGCGGTTAATTGATCCAAAGGAGTTGGTTAGGCTGCCTTGCTCAATGACATTGGAAATTGTAGGCAAAACTTATAGCATAGATTCTCTCTTGCCTGCTTTGCTGCGTTCACTTGATGAACAGCGTTCACAAAAGGCAAAATTGGCTGTTATTGAGTTTGCTATTAGTTCCTTCAACAAGCATGCTATGAATTCTGAAGGGTCTGGAATATTGGCATCCTGAAGTTATGGCTTGCTAAACTGACACCACTAGTCCATGACAAAAATACTAAGCTTAAGGATGTAGCTATTACTTGCATTATATCCGTGTACTCGAATTTTGATTCAACTGCTGTTCTGAATTTTATTCTTAGTTTATCAGTTGAAGAACAAAATTTCCTGAGACGGGCACTCAAACAGTACACCCCTCGCATTGAGGTGGATCTAATTAACTATTTGCAGAACAAGAAAGAGAGACAGCGTTCTAAATCATCCTATGATCCATATGATGTTGTTGGAACATCATCTGAAGAAGGATATATTGGTGTGTCCAATAAGAGTCTTTTACTTGGAAGATATTCTTCTGGTTCCATTGATAGTGAAGGTGGTAGGAAGTGGGGTTACAATCAGGAATCAACCCTGACCACTGGAAATATTAACCTGGCAACATCTGATGAAACTCAGGACAACTTATGTCAAAACTTGGAGAGTAGTTCAAACACCGATGTTTCCAAAGCCAAAGAATGGTCTTATATGGTTAATTCTATTAGTCAGGACTTGGAAGGTCTATCTACTCCAAATCTAGAAATTAATGGCCTGACTAGATCTGGCACTTTGGGGACAATTGAAGGAGTTGCTCATGAAACTTCATCAAAGTTGGATCTTAATCATCTTAAACCCGCAGCTACAGAGATTAGTTCTATGCCAGACACGGGGCCTAGCATTCCTCAACTTCTTCACACGGTGAGTTTGGTTTATCGTGTTTTTTTTCCTGGAAGTGATTATTGTTTTATTGAGTTTGCTCGGAGCAAATGGATTTTGGGCTTCTTATACTGCTTATTGTGCTACAAAAACTTCACACGTTATAAATGCTTTCTTTTTTATTTTTAGATTTGCAATGGGAATGATGAGAGCCCTACTGTTAGCAGGCACAATGCACTTCAACAATTAAATGAAATTTCTGTGGCTAATGATCTCTCTGTTTGGGCCAAGGTATAGTTCTTTCCTTAAAAAAAATTGTATAAATTTGATGTCCTTATCTTGACAGTTTTCTAACCCTGCAACACTGTTAAAAAAATATTGTCCTCTGCCCAAAATGTCAAATATGCTCTGTTATGTTTCTTGCATATAAATTGTAACATTTAGTTGTATTTGTGCAGTATGCCAATCAGATTTTGACAGCTGTACTTGAAGTTTTAGATGATTCTGATTCCTCAATTCGAGAACTTGCCCTGGCATTGATAATTGAAATGCTTAACAACCAGGTTTGCTCATATTTTTGGCATATACTATTATTTTGATACATTGTTTGGATTTTCCTTTTGTCTAACATGCAAATGCTTGTTTCCTCCTTATTGTTGGTTTGTCGTGCTTTCAGAAAGGTGTTATGGAAGATTCTGTTGAAATAGTAATTGAGCAGCTGCTTCATGTGATGAAGGATATTGTTCCCAAAGTAATTTATATTTTCTTTCCATGAACTTGTCCTTTGAGTACGTTGTTCTCCTATTACAAATCTAATGTCTGCTCCATGTTTAGGTTTCAAACGAAGCTGAACATTGCTTGAACACTGTGTTGTCCCAGTATGATCCATTCAGATGTTTAAGCGTATGTTGTTCTCTCTCGAATATCTGACTTGGTTTAGGTTATAAGAAGTACTGATGTTGTCAAATTACTGGGATTGCAGGTTATTGTACCTTTATTAGTGACTGAAGATGAGAAGACTCTAGTTATCTGCATCAACTGTTTAACAAAGGTATTTATTCCGAGAACTAAATTTTTTAAGATTAATCTATACTGAACCTGAATCAGGATAAACATCCAGCATTTGTTCGGATACGTTACATGAAATATTTGGATTAGACTTTGCTTTGCTTTTGATTGTTCCACTGTTCCTATTAACGATAAGCGTTCTATGCTCTACCTTTTCTGTTCAGCTTGTGGGCAGGCTATCACAGGAGGAACTAACTGCCCAATTGCCCTTGTTTTTGCCTGCTCTTTTCGAAGCTTTTGGAAACCAGAGTGCTGATGTCCGTAAGGTAATATATATGCTTTTTGAATTTGCAATTGATACGGTTGCTGTCTGAGATGTTACCTCCAAAATCTTAGGGCACTTTTACGTTGCATTCGGAAGAATTGTCCCTCTAAATTATTCTTTACCATATTGTTATTGAGTCGTGATGTCATTCCGTTTATTATCGATGTCAGACTGTCGTCTTCTGTTTGGTGGATATCTACATAATACTGGGGAAAGCGTTTTTGCCACACTTGGAGGGGCTTAACAGCACACAGTTGAAGCTGGTTACAATTTATGCAAATAGGATCTCACAGGCCAGGACCGGCACTCCTATTGATGCAAGCCATGATTAGCCAGTTCATTTGGACAGCGAGTCAGGTCGGATTTGGGATCTCACAAAGTTGAGGCTGGTTACAGTTTATGGCAATAGCATCTCACAGGCCAGGACCGGCACCTCTATTGATGCAAGCCATGATTAGCCGATTATTTAGACAGCGAGTCAGGTTGGATTCGGGAAGTGTTTACATATTCATTGTTTGTGTGTTTTGTATATTGTGTGAATGCATTTGAAGGGTTTTTTTTTAAATATATATATATATATATATATATATATATATATATAATATCTTTTAGCTATTTTGCTTGGTTTTGGAAGAATGGGTGCTGATGTTGGGGAATCAAATAGGGAATTGCACTTATATCATGCCCATGTTGTGATCACCATTTTCTTAACATTGTTTTTTCATATTCGTACATCCGAATAAGGGAGATGAAATTCCATCGACATCGATCTTTTAGAGAAAAAAAAGGCGACTGACCAAAATAGAAAAGGGAGAAAGTAGAGAACTTCTGGTGTGTAAGAAATAATGAATAAAAACTTGGTATTTGTAAGAAAAATAAGAGAACAACTTACAAATAAGATAGATGTGGTTAATAAAAATTCCCAATGATTTATAATGTCATCAAATGCTTAATTTAGAATATAAATTTATAAAAGAATAATATGGTAAAATATATATTGATTAATATAACATTATTGATTTTAAAATTACACATAATATCTGTTAATACAAACACAAATTAGACCAAGTAACTGACAATAACAGTATGCATAATGCATGCATGGATTTTGTCTTTAAAAGCAATATGAGATTTGGATTCTTTAGGTTACCCCACAATGAATTAAGGAAACCAAAATTAATTGTAAATATCAAAGTAATAAAGGAATCATTAGACAAGTGTCACTTGAATTAAAGATGTGCAAAATCTGATAAATAAATGTAATTAATTGCACACGCAAGAGAAAATCTGATTTTCAGATATGCACAATCTACAAATTTGTTCACCGAAAATGGAAGGTAAATACATAATTGCTAAACCTATTACTCACTATATAAACCTGCCTATGTACCCTATTGCTTTCACACTATTTCAGTTCTCCAGTTGCTTGCTAATAGTAAGTGAGTTTCCTCTTGAAAACATAGGCAAAGCAGTTTTCAATTTCTTGTAGTTCAAGTAATCAAGTTTGATCTTTGTTTACTTTGGGTTTTTGTTCTTGTTATTAAGTTTCTTGTCCAATTTTTTTTTTTTTGGCGTTGAAAATAACAGGTTCTAGTCTCAGGAAATCAATGGCGCCGGCTGCAGATGAGGCCAAGTCGGGCAATGGAGGACAAATACAAAGGCCATTTACGTTTAATGAAATCGTTCTGAGGAACAGGTTGACTGCCCTTGTCGTTGATGGTGACAATTTTTGCCGGTTGCTGCAGCAGGGGATTCTTCAAGCTTATGGACTTCAAACTCAAACGGTCGACAATGGCGACGCTGCGGTTGAGCTCATTGCCTCGGGTGCGAAATTCGACCTTATCCTCATCGACATGCTTCTTCCCATTCTGGACGGCCTTGAGGTAAACATCGCTTGAAAATCAAATGTGTCACATGACTCACAAGGTATCCCGTTGTTGTTAGCACAATACTAGGTAGGAGCACCAAAACTTTTAGGATATACCGAAACCGTGCTCGTGGTGTAGGCGCGACATGATTCAAGAAAACGAGAGTATCTTACCGGCCAATCGCTGGTTCGTGATAAGTTGTTTTATGTTTTATCATATGTTTTTATGGCAGGCTACGAGGCGGATTCGTGCAATGGGGGTGAATTGCAAGATGCTGGGGGTTACTGCTTTTTCCGGTGAAAGAGAAAGGCAGGCGTTTTTGGCAGCCGGAGTCGATTTGTTCGTGGAGAAGCCTTTGGGACCTGAGGTTCTGATTCCCATCCTTAGGGAACTCGACGGGCAGTATCCAAGCATCTAAAAATTGAAGATAAAACCGATGACTTATATGTAGGTGTTATGGTTGGCTACCCTTGAAGAACTATTACCAGCTTTAATGTTGTTGCTGTTTTTTTCATCTTTTTCGTAGCCTTGAACAATAATCCTCTAGTTGTGTCTTGGTGTTGTTCTTGGTACTGTTTTTAATTGGTTGTTGTTGGGTATAGTTACCGGTAATGATATACTATTTCATCTCCTAAAATTCTACATCCGTCCCTATTCATACAAAGTACTAATCATTTTTCCTCAACAACTTATGTGTAGGGATGGCAATGGGTCGGGTCGGGTCGGGTTTTTGGGCCACCCGACCCGAGAAGAAAGGGTTTTTCACCCGTGACCCGACCCGACCCGACGAAATTAAGGTTTCACCCGACCCGACCCGACCCGAATATATGACTTAGAAACCCGACCCGACCCGAAATAATAATAAAAAAAATTTTATTCAATGAAAACAGTGACTTAATTGAAAAAAATTATATATGGAGGGACATTAATGTAATTATCCCTAAATATATAGGATAAAATTATATATATTTTTCGGGTCGGGTCGGGTCGGATTTTTAATTGGTTGTTGTTGGGTATAGTTACCGGTAATGATATACTATTTCATCTCCTAAAATTCTACATCCGTCCCTATTCATACAAAGTACTAATCATTTTTCCTCAACTACTTATGTGAATGAGATATTAAGTATGGGTACAAAAGTTCGATTTTCTCTGTGGGAGTAACATAGCATGTAACCTATGAGAATGTGATCTATCCAACATGTTAATCTGGATGTGATACGCAAAGAAACCACACTTCATAAAGCCTTAGTTGTTTGGTTACATCTTCAGGGATCCGGTTCGAATAACATATATATTTGTCACAAATGGCAAGTGCTGTTACTTCAATCTAAATCTAATAACACAGCTACATCCCTTTGCGCTTGATTTGATTTGATAGGTCCCTAAAACATGAAGCCATCCTTTCCTGGTGAAATGCAGAATATAAATTTTGATTTTGCAGTTTGAGGTAGATGCCTGTTTCATTCACAAATCCCTCGGACAATGGTTGATTGTTATTCACAACCTTCACTTCCTCCTGGTTTCCTTAATTAAGAGGAACTAACGGGGATCATTTCTTTAAATTTGATATTTTCATATATTTTGTTTTTTTTGTTTTATTAAAAAAAAATATTTCATCCTTTAAAATTTTATAAATTTACTCTAAACTAAAACTATTCTTTCGTCTCTTCCTGGATGCCTACAAGTGCTGCAAGTCGCAACCAAGAGGAGGCAGTGAATTGACAGTGGCAGTGACTCCATGGAAGACCACGGATCCACGACACGTGTTTACTTTAAAATCTAAATTTTATTAAATTATTTATTTATTTCATTAATTTTATTTATCTTAAAATTTTATTTGTGTCTATCCGTATAAAAAAACTTATGTTTTTAATATATATGTATCACTCTGAAAAATATTTTTAAATTCGTCATTGTAAAAACCCCTAAGATTTAGAAGAAACAAGAAAGATGATGAAAAAGTACAAATGGCAACAACAAGATCATGATGATTCTCTACCATGCAAATTAATATTATTATAGTTATGGTATAGTAATTGCAGATGTTGTAAATACTATAATGTGATTTATTTTTTAAAAATAATTATATTTTTGTGTTATGGATGTGGGTTGTAATGTCACGATAATGTTAAAAATTATTATAACGTAACCATTATATTATAGAGAAAATAACCTCAGTGACAAAAATTGCATTATAATATACGATTTTAATCAACTTTTTTTGGATTTGCCAAAATGACCAACTAAATCGCAATGCGATCGATAATTCGCAACGCGATCTCCAGTATCGCAAATCAGTTTCCAGATTCGCAACGTAATTCTGACTATCGCATTGCGATTTTCCAAATTCGCGTTGCGATTTTCCTAATTCGCAATGCGAATACGTAAATCGCAATGCGAATCTGACTATCGCAATGCGATTTACATAGCGCCATTCGTATCCAACGCGTATTTTTTTTCAAATTCCAAACACGAATATATTAATATATCGAAACACTAAACCGTCCACAGTATATCCCGTAATCGTAACTCATAACCTAAAACCCTAAATCACAACTCAGTCTCATCTCCATCTCTCACTCTCTAAGATGACATCAATCCCCATCTCCGACGAAATCAGTCCCCATCTCCGACGATATCAGTCTCCATCTCCGGCGAAATCATTTACGGTCAGAAATGGAAAATCAACCAAATCAACCACTGATGGTTAGTTTTTTTAATTATTTTTATTTTGAAATTTTTGCATTATTATTAGATTTTTCATATTGAAATTGATGATAAGTTTACTGGTGTTTTCAATAATAGATTAACCATTTCACTTAGATTGCTTATTATATTCATTCGATTGTTGCCAATACTGCTAAACTGTTTAGTCTTTAACCCGGTGAAGTTAGTATTTGTCTTTATTTTGTCTTTTGGTTGAAGTAATGCAATCCATTCAAGTTTCTTTCAATTTTAGTATTTGAAACCGAGAATGACTATCGCAATGTGATTATGTCGTTGCGATTTTCATTTCGCGCTGCGATAGTCAAATTCGCGTTGCGATAGTCATTTTCGTGTTGCGATTTAAAGTTTCAGAAACTATTCTTCTTCTGCAAATTGAAACTTGAATGAATTGTATTACTTAAACCAAAAAACAAAGACAAATATTAAATTCACAGTGTTGCAAATTTAAGTTTGAAGAATAAACTACTACTCTTTATGTTTATTGTTCTTGTTATATCTTCACAGTGTAGTTTTTGGTATATCTAACTTGGTATGTTTATTGTTTTTGCAGAACTTTTATTCGGCTCAATTGACCTTAAGAAATAAAGTAAGCCTGGCCAAAACAATTGCGTCGAAGCTTTCACCTGCACAAAGAAAAATATTTGAGGATACTTGCTTCGGGCCATGGCTGAAAGTACAACATCCGGGTGGAGATGCTATGTTGACCCATCTGTTTCTTCAAACCATGACTAGCGATCTACCAGAGACTATACAACGTCGTGATGAAGAGATATGGTTTGATTTTCCACCGGCGTATACGTGTTTTGGGCGGGAGGAGTTTTGCTTAATCACCGGTCTACGCTTCGGACACGATGATGTAGATCGGTACACTAGACATATTACCCGCCTATCATGGTTTTCCCGGGTTTTTCTTGAGCTGTCGAATTTACACGTGGAAGACTTGACGAGATTATTGAATAAGAAAGATGGTTTTACTCGGATGGATGACGTCGATGTTGTCCGAGTATGCCTTCTAATACTTTTGCAAGCCGGCTTTTTAGGCAGAGAGGCCCGACAACCTATTCCTAATGATCTAATTAAATTGGTAGAGGACCTAAATGCATGGAATATGTTTTTGTGGGGTTCGTATCTATGGAAAGTTACATGGAATAAGTTGTCGTCTGCCTTTGATGATCAGAAAAGTTTGCGTGGCGATGGTTCCAAATACACTTTGTCAGGCTTTATTTGGGCCTTTAAGGCAATAATTTTTATATAATGTTTCCAAAATTATAATTAATTCTTTAACAATTACTAATGTTTGTTATTATATTGTTTGTAGATTTGGATATTTGAGTCCTTTCCCGCCATGCAGACATATGCATTAAAAACTTCTAATGATATTCCTAGGGTTATTTCCTGGAAGATGAAACGGTCCTTGCAGCAATGGGAAGATTTACTGTCGTATACTACAATAAATAATGTAAGTTAACACAAATACTACCATATGTTTATAAACAAGTTATTACTAGTACACGTTTAACTTTGTTTGAGCTTTTATATTGTTAGGAGGCCAACACTCCATTACAGAGGCTGACACCCACGGAAGCTGAGCTTGCCACAGATTGGTGGCAAGCTAGTAAGCGTTTTTTTGATGGCACGGATGATGAGCAGCCACCACTTCGAGAGCCATCACCTCACCCAGAGCCATCACCTGATCGACCCGAATATACACCTCCACAACGAGAGTCATCACCTATTCTGTCACATCATCAAGCCTCTTCTCCACCATCACCTCATGATAGGCGACTGACAAAGATGGCACGACGTTTATCTCCCTGTTCTCCACCTCCACCTCCACGGGATGAGTTAGGGGAGTTACGTAATGAGGTCAATGCCTTGAATGAGGAGGTCGGTACTTTATGCGATGACAATGGTGCATGGCGTGTTGAGGTGTCTACTTTACATGGTGAGGTAGTAGCTCTACGTGAGATTGTAGTATCGTTGCAGAATGAGGTTCATACTCTATGCAACGAGGTAAGTTTAATATTTTTCATATTTAACTTGATGATAAATTTACTCGTAATTTCACTTAGATTGCTTAGTAAATTCATTCGGTTGCTGCCAATACTGTTTAACTGTTTATTCTTTAACCCTGTGAAGTTAGTATTTGTTTTTGGTTATCTTTTGGTTGAAGTAATGCAATCCATTCAAGTTTCAATTTGCATAAGAAGAATAGTTTACTATCGCAATGCGAAAATGACTATCGCAATGAGAGAATCGCAATGCGAAATGAAAATTGCAACAACAAAATCGCAACGCGATAGTCATTTTCGCGTTGCGATAGTCATTTTCGCGCATTGCGATTCTCTCGTTGCGATAGTCAAATTCGCATTACGATAGTCATTTTCGCATTGCGATAGTCATTTTCACGTTGCGATAGTCATTTTCGCGTTGCAATTTTAAGTTTCAGATTCTATTCTTCTTCTGCAAATTGAAACTTGAATGAATTGCATTACTTCAACCAAAAGGCAAATACTAACTTCACAATGTTGAAAATTTAAGTTTCAAGAATAAACTACTACTCTTTATGTTGTCATTGAACCTGCACTAAACCTATATATTGTCCTTTTAAATGTTTATATAAGTGCTTACTTCTGGAATGTTATCTGATGCATTTTGTGAACAATGATATAATAATGACTTGGGAGAATACCGTGCAAGTTTGAAATATATT